TTTAGAAAACTGAAAATTTCAGTGAATGTAGTCGTGAAGTACCTGATTAAATCCCACTTATTCAGAATGTGGCACAAATCGCCGTTTCCTCATAAAAAAATAATAATCTTTTAGGGGTGCTTTTTAACCTATGACGCTCCGGGGTTTTAGAAAACCCCAGGGGTAGTATTCTCGAAGGTCGAATACCTCGATTCGCATGCAAGATTAGTCAAATGTCGAATATCAACTAGGTGATTTTAAAAAAGTGTATCCTCGAAAACAGGATACGACAAATGTCAGGTGAATTCAACACGAGTGGCGTAAAGTGCTTGAATTTAAATTCGTATGCGACTTTATGCACCGTAAATATGAATGAGGCAGATTTTGATAAAATTAACATTTGGTGGCTGTTGAAAATCAAAACATTATTAAAGAGTGACAGCATAGAAGGAAGTTTATTTATAAAAATTCATTTGGAATTAACGATGTGTGCTTAGAAAGTCTAAAATGCTTGATAAATAACACTATAACACATCGTTTATTCCAAATGGATTTTGTCGGCCTCGTAACAGCCACTTTGACTGGACATTGAAAAACCAGCCCTAAATTTACACAAAATCATTAAAACACTTTTACACGACACTGGCATGACTTACAGGTAATTATGCAACTAATAATGAAATGAAATAGGGGTGGGCGATATTTCATGTTACAGTGATTATGTTACTGATATAATTACCGTAGTAATACATGACATTGAAGTCGTGACAAGACAAAATGTATGCTCAGAGCAGAGATTAGGGACATAAAGATTGGAAACGCAACGACGACCGCAGCAACGATGGCGTCATCTAGCGTCTCAGATGTTAACTACAGGTCTACGTCGTTTGTAGAAAGACCAGTGTTGCCAAATATTTTTTTTGAGAGATTGTACAAGTATAGTAGAAAAATGGTATTTCGACAAAAAAAATGTACAATAGATACATGCATAGTATAATATAACTTAAATGGAATGACAAAAAAAAAACTTTGGCATGATAATTTATTTATCTATTTATAAAAATGTTTACAACGAAAAAAAAACTAAAGAAAATACATAAAACTTTAAATTAACACATTTAAAGTAATCAATGACTGTCACTTGAAAGTGATTAAAATTTTGCATGCAAGCTTTTCTTATGCCGTGATAGTCGGTGTACAAAATCACCATGATCAAAATCACGATAAGTCAGAATGAAAATGACTGCCTGCAGAAATTACGAATGGCCTATGAATCTTTGCAAGTAGTTTTTGAGTTTTATTGTATTATGTTCTGAAGTTGTTGCAGATATTTAAATATTTTTACGTACGATCAAGGTCTGTGGTACGATCTCACTGATGCAATCGTACATCGTACAGAGAGTTAACCCGTTGACGGACAACGACGTCTATAGACGTTATTGACAATGTGCGCTCCGTGACACCTTAATTTAAGGACGTCTGTGGACGTCTTTTATAATACCTCCATAGCTCGGCAACAACTTCTAAAGACGTCAGATTTGAATCGTAAATCGGTAAAGTGTCATATCAAGCACACTAATTTGACTCTGTGCATTTGACGTGAGATGTGGGGATAGTTAGAACATGGCGTCATAACGGTTTATGCGGGGCGCCTCTGTGGGCCTCTGGCATTTAGTATTTCAGTCAGTAATCAGAATGCAGCACGTGGTATGGCGTTAGCTATTATTCGATATTTTCATTAGTTTTCAAATAAAAAATACATTTGCGTAATTCTAGTGTTTTATTTATACCGACGTCTATGGACGTCTACGTTACAAATGTATAGAAAAATGTCTAGTATGTGACAGTGACGTCTATAGCCGTTATTGTTTTTTTATATTATTCAGCTTTTTTAGAAGTCAAATAACATATATAAGTGTTACTATAATATTGAAAAATTTAGTGAAGTTGCAATAGTGTCACAAAAAGCATCTCCACCTGTTCACATGTGTCCGTCAACGTGTTAAAAAATTGTATAAATACGATTTAAATCGTACGGTTGGCAACACTGAGTCAGGCAGTAGACGTGGACAGCAGTGGACAGTTTGTAAATATAATTGTCAGTTTTATGTATATCGAAGAATCCTGAATTTAAATTTGAAATTTTTAGTTAATGATTGTGTTATCCTCTAGATGAACTAAGCGAAACGGTTGTTGCTATTTTTCTGTGACATTTGAGGACAATAATTATATTTTGTAATATTGCAATAAGTCGGAGAACGTATTGCAATGTGGCGTTCTTTAATTAACCAAAGTAAGATCTACTCATGTAAGTAACACAAATAGTAACTAACTTCTGTCACAAAGTGGGTATTTATTTATTATTTATTGTTTTAGAACAATAAAATGGCTTCAAAACGTTAGAAAGATTTGATATAGGAAGAAAAATATCTGAATTCCCATTATTGAGTTTGCACTCAACATTTTTAAATAAGACACCTTCGTTTGGAAAATAAGAACAAAATGTAATGTTACAAATAACGATCAAAAATTAAAAAAATATTTGTCATGAATAGATTTACAATAATTAATCGATAATAGACTGAAAGTGTAGTATTCTTTTTAATAAATAATTTAGCGTAATTACATTGTTTACGTTTATTTACAATAACATGAGAGTGCAGTCGATATTTATACAACCTTTATCGGGTTTTTAAATTTCCCGCCGCGTTGTCTGATATCGATGAAAGCGCCACATAGTGGGTCAGATGTTAACTGCGTTAGAGCTAGTCGTTGTTAAGCATTGGCTTCTTATGAGCATTTCCTATCTTTATCTCACTTATCTCTGGTTATGCTCTTTATCTCCCTTATCTCTGGTTATGCTGAAAACAGAAAAAAAATCCATTTAAATTATAAAGGGGATTTATGTCCTCATTCCCTTATGAAAATAGATGATTCTATTATATAAGAGAAAAACGAAAACCGTTTCGCAAGTTACAAATGCCACTTTTTATTTTAAACTGTCTTTAATCGCTCAAAGTTGGAAGAATATACAGTGTGTGCGATAAAGTTAGATCTATATGGGATTTTTTTAATATTACGATTGAAAAAAAAAACCTAATAAAGCCCATATCAACATTTTCTAATTACATTAGTTTTCTGTCAAATTCTCATTAAAAAAAAATATCAGCTATAATTTAGGCTATTTTAAGTTTTTAAAAAAGTAGGGGTAAATGCTCTACGTTTTTTCCAATCGTAATATTAAAAAAACATTTTTTAAATTCTTTATATACATTTGGATTTTGGCGATTATTATTTCATTTTAAACTTAATAACTAAAAGGTGTGCGAAAAAAGTTTCTGTGTACCTACCAGGTACCATAGGTACCGTCTTTCAAACAGCACAGGGATTATTATGATCGAAATCGACACATTACGTACCGAATAAAGAGGAAGAGAGAGATACATTACATACGAATCGCAGACCGTCTAACGAAGATAGGCGTCTCAATACGAGATGTATCGAAATATGAGAATCCCACTATGACATTATTTCTCTTGCCTGTCAATGTTTTTTTTTAATTTTTAATTGACTCTGAGTAGTTCATACTTCAGTTATTTGTATGTGACAGAAAACTGTTGCTCATTTGTTGTCACTTTTGCCACAAAATCCCGGTTTAAAATCGCTGATATTTAAATGTGGCAGTTACAAGTAGGTATCACGTATACTTAAAAATAACGATATAGCCCACCTCTGCAATGAAAGTAATATGGGTTGTATAGATGTTGCATGCATAAAGTTTAAAAGGGAAATGAAACACAAGAATACCGGGATCGGGACGTAGGTCACAAAATACAACTACCTAACTGAAGAAATATTTATTTAACATTTATTTAACACAAAAATTTAAAATAGCCATCTTGAATAAAAATGTAAATTTACCTATGTAATGAAATTAGCTACAGATACATAAGAAATAATTTTATTAAAATTCTTTAAGTGACCGAAAGAATATATTTATTAATATTTTCTTTTAAAAAATATTTGAAATAACTACCTACTTTAAATAATGAAACTTATAAAAAATATGACATTTCTTCTCAAATACAACAATTTTCTGAAATATTCGATTGGAAATACCTACAGAAGAATGATGGTGAATCATTTGTTAACAAACACAATTTTATAAATAATCAAGTCAAAATTAGAAAAAAATCTTGTATGTAACACGTTACGAAATGTAGTTTTGTGTAACTCGTTCATTTTACGTTCAAATATTTACTCGTTACACAAGGCATTTCGTATCTGGTTACATAAATAGATATTATACCGATGGTGTTTGTTTTATTTTTGTGCAAGAAATATTAAGATTCATGTACAGTACAGGTTTATTTTGTAAAATTACTGTTAGATTTAGGGTATAAGCAGAGATAAATAATATTTTTTCTTTTTTACAACAACACTTTTTACCCAAAAACACTCTATGTTTAAAGAAAATATTTGTTTTTTTTTCTATGAAAAAGTTTTAATCCCCTTAAAATTTGTATTAAAATATGCAATAACTACCAATCTTTTATTTAGTTTTAATTTAAAATTTCTGTTTTCTTAATAATTAAATAGTTAAATTGTTTTTGTTTGAATAGGTAGTTTTCCAAAAGTTGATTTTTTATATTTATGTAAAAAAATTCACTAAATTTAAATATTCAACCAAAAATTATACTCAAATCAGAAACAATGAATTTAGAATATACTTGAGCATTCTATTCAGATTGAAAAAACAGTTAGTCTGGACCTGGTACGGCCGCCATATTGATGGTTTACTTACGACCACCCATATCATTTTTAGAATACATTTTTAAATGAACATATTCTACCTCCATGTATTCTCTCTATAATTCCCCCCCCCCCCCCCTCTTCGAGTGAATTTTAACCTCAAAAGCCGATTGAGCTTGTGCGGGGAATGTACGGCTTTTTTACAAATAATTATAATAAATTAATAATTTCTATTTATAAAAATTTTAACAATTATTTTTTTTTTTCAGGGTACTTTTATACTGTATATATTATTATGGATATTTGAAAACTTCCCTACTTCTATGATTCTTTGTGGAATAGTGGCGCAACTTACTCATTTTGTGATATTAAGAAGTTTTCCATTTGTATCATTTTTATCCCTAGAATTTATAGCGACAGTAGTGTTTATTACTATTAATCATTACTTGGCGTTTAGTTACTTTGCATCTGTCTATCATGCGTTTTCAGAGGTAATATTTGAAATAATTTGTTTTTAACAAAAAAAAAATAATGAATATTTTTGTGGAAAAGTTTAAAAAATATTGTTATGTAATTAAATATACAGATATATGGTCACTGTTATAACGTACCTAAACGCATCCACCTCTTCTTGTTTGCATACATCAACCCCAACCAACCACGGTGTAACTAGTGTGTTTCAACTGTCGAAAAAAAAAATGCCAAAAATTGATTAGGATATGAGCACGATACATAAATACCGGTATGCTACTAATTAGAGACCGAATTTCGTACTTTCCGCGCATGACGTTACGTGGCATAAAGCAAAAAGTATTTAATTGACGTTAAAATAAGAATTACTTTTTAACACAGTTTTATTATTAATTATATAGATATAATGACAAGAAATAATGATACGCGTTCGTTTTTGGAATTTTAAATAAGAGTTAAAAGTATTTTGCTTGTGTGCTGTTAATTTTTAAAGTACCTATTTGAAGAGTTTAAAGTGTTTTGATGTTCCGTTTACCATTTTTGAATGTTTTTAAAGCGTTTAAATTAAGGTGTGGTGATTTCTTCAGCAATTTTATTGTGACAATAAAAAATTTACAAAATGTCTAATTGTGTTGTGGCTGCTTGTAAAAATTATAACAAAATTTCGAAGGGAACGGACATTAGATTTTCGATTTCCAAAGAATGATGATCTGGCTAAGCAGTGTATTGTAGCATGTCGCCAGGAAGGGAAGGGACAATAAACTTAAAAAATATAAGTGTAGGAGCTTTTATTTGAATAATGAAAAATGCTGATTCTGTTGTATAAACTTAAATTTAATGTACATATATTAGGATTAGATGTTTTTTTGCAACTCGTATTTGCTCTGTACACTTCGAAGTCTCCTATTTCGAAGTGCCTCTGCAGCATATATAGTTGGAATACATGTCCATAAATAGCCGACATTTGAAATCGAATTCTGTGCCCACACTAAGTATTCCAAAATTTCCCACAGCAACTAATCTGCGATTAGCTAAAAGAAGATAGCGGGATGAAGCAATTTAAATTTTAAGCAGCTAGTGTTTCTGAACAAGAGCTTACCTACATAGAGCCTTCTCCCGAAGACATCCAACAAGTAATAGAAATTAAAAATTTAAAAAAACCGACTTCAAAACGTGCAGATGCCATCACAACTTAACCAAATTTATATGGGACCACCCTTGAGATACCCCCTTACTAACAAAAAAGAATCATATAAATCGAACAAGGTGGTAAAGCATTATCGCTAAACATACATAAAAATAAAGAGTTTGAGGATTTTCTCATGGACCCAATTATTAGATTTGGACCAAATTTATATGGGACCACCCCTGAAGTACCCCCTTTCTAACAAAAAAGAATCATTGAAATTGGACACCGTGTTAAAGAATTATCGCTGAACATACATAAAAAAAATATTGCGACGAATTGAGAACTTCCGCCTTTTTTAACCGACTTCAAAAAAGGAGGAGGTTATCAATTCGTCGCGATATTTTTTTTTTTTTATGTATGTTCAGCGATTATTCTTTAACACGGTGTCCGATTTCAATGATTCTTTTTTTGTTAGAAAGGGGGTACATGATTCTTTTTTTGTTAGAAAGGGGCTACTTCAGAGGTGGTCCCATATAAATTTGGTCAAAATCTAAAAATTGGGTCCATGAGAAAATCCTCAAACTCTTCATTTTTTATGTATGTTTAGCGATAATGCTTTACCACCTTTTCCGATTTATATGATTCTTTTTTTGTTAGTAAGGGGGTACCTCAGGGGTGATCCCATATAAATTTGGTTAAGATGTGGTGATGGCATCTGCACGTTTTTGAAGTCGGTTTTTTTAAATTTTTAATTTACACTTGTTGAAGTCTGTTAAAAAACTGGTACTTGGATCATGACATCAGTATTTGCATTTTTTCAAAAATACAGTGCAGTGGTTTTACTCGAATCTTATGTAAAATACATTTATTTAAAACAAAATAAAATTTTTATCGAAAACCTCTCTTGTTACTTGTATTTATCTATGTAGATGCGTCGGATTTTTATGCCAGGTAACGTCACATCATGTGGATAGAGCTAACATGCGCAGGAACATACCCGTATTTCTTTATCGTGGGATATGAGTAAAAATCCACTAGATTCGCTAGTATAAATATTTACGGCCAAAAAATGGCGGTTCATTTTCAACCTGTCAGAAGTGCAATCGTACAAATCCGTTTATTTAGCCTTTATCAGGTGAAAAATACGAGTCACATTTCAATATATATTTTTTATTATAATGTACCTTTACTTGAAATAACTAAAATCAGAACATCTTAATTTGGGTTACTTTATTCACTGAAATTAAAACAGAATGGACTCAACCCTTTTTCTAGTTCATTGTAATCACAGTTTCCTCCTTATGAGTACAGTGTGCTTTGGTGTTATCAAAACTATTATTATAAATCATTTACAAAAAATTTAAGAAAAACTGATTTTTTTATAATTATTTCTTTGCCACCGTTAACTCGTAAAGAACATATTTTCGGACACATGTTTATAGTTTTTTCTTATTTCGACTTCCAGTACACGTCCTAAAAATATTTCCATTTCCTCGTGAAACGCCCCTTATTTTTAATGTCTGCAAAGTACAAGGTGTTCCAAAATACAATTTTTGAATTATCATGTACCATTTTTTTAATTTATATTATTCGGATGCTTCAATAAATATAAACATGAAAATCGTTTAGATCAATCGTCAAATGTTTTCATGCAAATGTTTTCATGCAAGAAAGGTTCAAATTTAAAAAATTGTGAATTTCAAACTTACTAATCTCTTACCTCTACTCCTAAGTGTTATCATTTAGTAATTAAAAAAGTAAAAAAATACTGGTTTATAAAAATTGTTTATTTTTTATGAATGCTTGTAAAAATATTGGTAACATCCTGGTTAAATGGTTTATTTAAATTACAGGCATATTATGTCATTGCTTCATTAAGGTAGTTCACTCGTAAAACGGCTTTTCTTAAGAATTCAATAAAATTGAAATATAAGGTTGATGAATAGAGTCTTTTAGGTAACTAAAAAAAATTACATTTTTTGACCGTCTGTGAAACGTGATATTAACAATCAAAATGTGCATAATTAAAGCCTGTCATGTACGCAAGCAATGCATTTATTTCAAGATATCTCGAAAACGATTCTTACTATATTTTTTTAAAAACTAAGAATGTAATGTGTATATCAAGAAATTATAAAATTTTTCTAAAAAGCGTTGAATTTTTTGATCGTTTTGGTAAAAAGATATAGATTTTTAAATTAAAAAAGCAGTAGACGCTAGTGGCGTACAATGATTACAACTTGGTAACATTGTAATCGCTACACTTAACGTGCGGTAACTGAATTACATTCGATCAGCTAAGAGGTTGTTATAACCTAGCGACGTGTTCTTGAAAAATTAATTCGTCCACTGTATTTGAGAACTGGAATCGACGATTCTGTTTGAACCAAAACAAACCCTTAAAATTAGTATGAGGAAGTCACAAATTTCTATAGCCCATCATTTATATATTTGCGACGTTGTTGGGTGAATTTTACTTGAAATTATAACGTATCCATATATATATATATATATATATATATATATATATATATATATATATATATATATATATATATATATATATATATATATATAAGCTTACATATGTTGTGTACAGTCTCTTACAAAAATAACATTTTTTAGCATTGATAATCTCGAACTTTTGGTATTCACCATTAGGCGATATTTTTATGTACGACTGTCGCGAGTGAACTACCTTAACTGGCAAAGATAAATATAAAATTATACAACGCATATGATATAATTTTTAAACAATCATTGATCTTTATTATAGTAAGAAGATGAATATCATCTGATTATGAAATTAAAAAAATGTAAAACAAAAAATACACCCGTTTTTGAAACAAATATTAAAAATAATCACTTTAACACTAGGTAGTGTTAAAAGTAAACTGACAATCGTTTCTTGTAGTTTTAATAACTTGTGTGGATTTTAAGTGCATTGTGCAAATGCCATTTTTTAAGACTTATATCACAAGTAACTATTAAAAATTACTTAGAACCGATTCCACCGTTGTGTTAAACATTTTTACATTAACAATGTCATTTTAATCTCCGTTTAACACAACGGTGGAATCGGCCCTTAGGTACTAAAGTATTTCTATCTAAACTTACATTTTAAAGTCTTAAAATACTCAATGGCCAAAACAAAAAGATAGCTGCTAATCTCTTTTAAACGGTATCGATAAACTTCTACAAATTATCAATCGAGGCGCGCCGCTGACGGCTGAGGTGTTCTTTCTATGCGTTGCTAGGTAAAAAAGACACAATTTGGTTTCTGCTACTGTCGTCATCTATGACGCGCCTCTGTACTTTAGTAGAACGGTGTCTATTTCCTATGATTGGTAAAACAGTGGCCATATCTGTATAGATAGATGCAATTGTATTTCTATAGTTGATACTAAATAATTTTTTTTTTAGGTAATAGCTTATTTTACAATATTCTTGTGGTTAGTGCCATTTGCCTTATTTGTTTCACTATCGGCAAACGACAATGTGTTACCAACCAGTATAGATGGAACAGGTAAAGTTATTAAATAATTTTTATAAAAATAATATTACATTTACCGTCTTGCTTATTCTGTGTTGAGATAGTTAAAACATTATAGTTTTTCTACGACCCCGCTAATACTAAAAAATAAAATAAGTCCTGTTGCCGAAATAGTTTATGTTACAAGGACGAAAAATAAAGATTTTCAGGCATTATGAGAAGTTTGTCAGGCAAGATGTAGTCGATCCTAGCAACTCGTAGGAGTTCGATATATTAACGAAAATATATGTAGACAAGTTATAAAAGTAATTTTAAAAAATCGACTTCAAAATCGTGCAGATTCCATTACAAATTGATTTTGATAATTTTCTCATAGATGCCTAATTAGGCACTTCAAACAAAATGGTTGCCAGTGGGTTTTGACATGGCAACCTTGTGGGCCTGGTGATTTGAGACAAGATGCTAAATGCCACTGGTGGCTCCACATAATGCGCATGCTCTCTAAACTGTCATAAGAATTACTTAAATATACGCGCGAAATTTTAAAAACATGTAAAAGCAATTTTTTTACGTGTTTCACTAATAAATTGTCACATACAAAAATAAAGGGGATTTTAAAAACTGTTATTACAGTAAGGATATTAAAAATAAGTGTTTAAATAGTTTTTTTAATGTATATAACTGGTATTTAAATAATGGAAGGCGTTTTAAAAACTATTAATGCAGCAATTAGGATATTCAAAATAAGTGATTAAAATGTTTTTAATATAAATAACCGATCGATATTTCGAATTAATAAAACGAATAATGTGATTTTAATGTTTCAATAAAATGAAAACGCTTATTGACTTAGTTGGCACAAGGAACAGCATAAAGAATAAAATAATTAACTTCCTCTACAATAACACATTTTACATTATTGATGAGTTCCTCAATTCTTGAACTACACAATGAAGGTATCATAATCTGTTTACCAGCTAGGTCATTTTCTAAATTATGTTTCTTTTAATAATATAAGTAGTCTTATGTATATAATTGTTTACTATTTTTTGAGATTTTTAAAAAAAATTTAATATTGTTTAAACTTGACTAGCCTGGATAAAGTAGCTTTCACTATGTAAATGTCCTTTTATGGTGAATAAACTGATTTGATTTTGATAATTTAATATTTTTACAGATAAATTTAATGTTTCTTTAATCATATTTGTACTACCTAGATGAGAGAGATTTGTAAATACCGGACAAGACCAATAATGATCATAACGTTTGTTTAGGAAAATAAATAAAACACAAAAATATGGTGTACTTACATTTTTAACAAGTTTATAATCTTATATATCTATATCACATATAGGTAGATACATAAAAATATTAATATAATAACTGAAAATAAAAATCTTAAAAAAACAAATAAAGTAGTGTATATGATGCTATTATTGAAATAAAATTAAAAATAAGTTGTTCATAATAGGTAAGTATACCTACTCCACCTATATATGCCTACGATGGATGTCAAAACAATGGCTAATATAATGGGCCCGTTCACTTTCATTTTTGAATGTGAAATATTTATATATTTATAAAGATATTAAACTCTTTTGTCTGGTGTAACTTTTCCCGTTAAGATATTTTTGCTAGAAGTAAGGGAATTCCCATAAAATTCTTTCAGTGACTCATTGCGTCAGAAAACCCCTAATTCCCTTCAGGTCTTGTATCCGTTAATAGTTAAAAGGGCGCGGTTGTCGGATGTATTATTGCACCACCATTCCTCTTCTGCATTTATTAAAGAAATTTACATGATAAAAATATATTATTTTTTAAAAATAATGTGTTTATATTTTCAGATAAAGCTGGAAGCCTTACCTTTTTTAAATTTTAATAAAAACAATTAGTATTACTCAAGCTGAATATTACCAGATCGAAATTTTATTTGAGAAAATGTATCTGGTAAACGTGACAACGTTGTAAGTACTTCTAAATAGTGTTGTCTACACACACTTCTAGAAATAAATGCAACGTTGCCACGTTTACCAGATAAATATTGCAGATCCAATTTCTACTCTTTGATTATGGTCTGGTTAATTTTCAGCCTGAGTAATAATAATTGTTTTAATTAAAAAGTAAAAAATAAGCTCCCAGCTTTAATCTGAAAATATAAGTTCATGATTTTTAGAAAAATAATGGAATTTTACTATTTAAATTACATATATAAATGCAGAAATGCTATATTAGGGATACTTCCGACAACCTCGCCGTCTTTAAGCATAACCGATACGAGACGTGAACGGAATTAGGGATTTACTGACGCAATGAGTCACTGAAATAATTTTATGGGAATTCCCTTACTTCTAGCAAACATATCTTAACGGGAAAAGTACCACCAGACAAAAGAGTTTAATATCTTTATAAATATATAATTAATTCACAATCAAAAATGAAAGTGAACGGGCCCATTACAAATATAGGACAAAATAATTCCAGCCAACGAACTTCTACATTTATATACTAATTGCAAATCCAATATTTACTATAATATAGGTCAGGATTCTGTGGACTTCAAAACTTCTATTATTATCACCTTATTACATAATACATAGATGTGCAAATTTTTGAAAATTCGTTTATTTTTTCTTTTTTATTATTGTGGTGGAAATTCTCCTCATGAACATCTTCCCCTTACGGTTGGTATCTAGTGTGGGGCTCACAGCTTGCTTTGTTTAGAGCACATGTCCACTAAAAGCACATAGGTCCTATTGTACCACCCTGAAATTGCCTGTAATTACAACTGTTATACCAAGAATTTCTTTTGCAATCTGAACAGAAATACCGACTATATGGAAAATTTAATCAGCTCATTTCAGAATGAAAAAAACCTTAAGTTTAGAATTTGATGTTATTCTCTTTATCAATTTTTGAGTTATCGAGGATGCAGATAGACAATATCGTAAAAATTATCAAAATGGGGAACAATATTTCTGTAATTTAACAAATGTCTGATTCACTTTAACAAATAATAGTTTTTTGATTTAGTTTTTATTTGACTATTAATTAAATTAACAAAAATATATGTTATCAAAATAATAGGTTCTTTCGTTCGCTGTTGGTGCAGTGTCCACCAGTGTAAATTACACCAGTTACACCACCTTATTTCCCCTAGTTTACTTCCTCCTTATTCCTTATACACATGTCGAGTGTAATTCACTCCTGCTAAATAGCTAGTGGAGAAAATATCCACCAGTGGACACCACATCGCCGACAGGAAGGTATAGTGGATTTTACACCGGGCCAAACGAAAGGTTTGGTGTGAGTTGGTGTAGTTCATTCCTACACCAGTGGGACGAACGAAAGAACCTATAATATCCATTAACCCAAATAAGATAATTTTGTCAATAGCTTGTTTTTAGTAAAGATATTAATCTCTTTTAACATCAAGTTTCCAAGTACCTAGACTAAAACATTTAAAAAAATAGTTTATAAAACTTTTATGAATTTTATCGATCATATAATTTCATTAGGTATATTTATGTAATTATGCACTACAAATGTTTCGATATAAGCCATAATCATATTTGGAATGTTAATTTTAAACTTGCGACTATACCTAATAAGATTAAATAACCATTAAAAACAAAGTTTTTTATTGAAAATATATATTATGTATAACAATATAGTCAAATTATTAAAAAAATATATATGTTATTACAATAAAACCCAATAACATTATTTTACCTGATTTTGTATAGGTACACTCGCAACGCAAATAATTTTGAAGCTATTAAGTAGTAGATCCTTTATTCACTTTTGAAATTCTCAAGTGTTGCAAATCTAGATTGTGATCATAATGTATTTTGGAAGGGTACATATACAGCTTATTCTAATCATCTCTTAGCTTTATATGACTTGTGCAACAACAAACAATAACATCTGACTTTTCAAGAAGCGACTTCAAGTTCTGAGCCTTGCTTACCTGTTATATTTGCATTAAATGTTTTAGGGCCGATTCCATCGTTGTGTTAAACGGAGATTAAAATGACATTGTTAATGTAAAAATGTCATTTTAAACTTCGTTTAACACAACGGTGGAATCGGCCCTTAAACAACTGAAAATTATTCATTTTTCCTGTTTTTATTTTAAGATTGCAGTTATAATAAATAACATTTCCTCCAGTACTCTTCTATGTTCTAGCTATAGTGTAGATATTAAATTACACTTATATTAACCATTTCAAAATTGCTTTTCCAGCTTTCAAATGTTGGTGCTTAAAAAAATCATATTGGAATAAAAGGGAAACTTTTACCATTTTTATTTGCAAATTCAATAAATATCCTGTAATCACAGAGCTGTAATTGTGAACTTGCTGTATTAAACTTTTACTTTTTTGGTAGGATGAGTTAGGTATTGCAGTCCTGTTTCTGTTTCTAAACGGTGTACTTCTCGACTATGTTTATTTAAATTGGACTTCTTAGAAAAAAATTCTCACAAACGGAGTATTACAACATTCCATTTTGATAAACAAAAATTATCACTCTTCTAAAATGACAAAGGTGTGAATGACATGTTAAAAACCGCGCTAATCATGGATGACACATTTTAGCGAGCATGCGCATTATATGGAGCTTAGAGCATATGCTCTAAGATATGGAGCTACCAGGGACCGTATTCTTGAGTCGTAGGAACGGCGTTCCTATAGGAATAGAGGGCGTGTTTCTCCTGAAATTCGCTAAGCCCGTATTCTTGAAGTCATAGGAACGTTCACTTCCTACGAAAGTCGTAGGAACATCGTTCTACTGGTATTTCGTAGGAGAACGCCGTGTTCTCTCAAGAATTATTAGTAAACGCATGCGGGGTAGCCGATTTATTATTTTTGGCCCGTAATTAAGTAATTTTTTTAACTTTTTTCATATTCGTACATTTCGTATTTTTATATTTTTAATAAAATCATTATTGATAACAATAGAGTGAATAATTTATTAGCATAAGTAAAATATTATTTGGTACCTCATCACAAAAATCAATTATTGTAATTCTAATAAATGCATGGGTACCTATACATACCTACATATCTATTATTCGTATTCTGGGAATTGTAAATTAGGGAAAATCCCAAAATCCTAATAAATAAGGGTCGTACTATTTAGTAGGTAGGTACCATTTAAGCTATATTTATTGCCTAAAATGGGAATACAAATTATGAAAAATCCCAAAATTGATATTAGTGTTCAGTGTTAAGAAGTTTATAAATTGTCTTCTATGACAAATATCTTTACTGAAAGCAAATTGTATGGTTTTGTTTTGTAAAAATAATTACAAAATTAGAAAAACACAAAGAATGATTGTTAAAAATGTTAATTTAATCCCATTAAACTGAGAAAGTGATATTTGAAAAGTTGAAATAAAGTATAAGTATTGACAATAATCTAGTGAAGCTACAGTTAGTTAAAGTAGGTAGCACGGAGGAAGGATAATTAAGAGTTGCAGATTCCGTAGGTAGTAAACAAAAGTTATAAAAAAAAATTCGAAATAAATTATAACCCTTTATATAATAAGTTAGTTGAAAATATTTCAAATTTCTATGAGGCGGTCACTCCAGTTTATATAATTAGTCTAATCTATATATTTGTAAACATATGTATTGAATTTTCTTTACCGAATTTTTACTAATAAAATTATTTATTTGATATTAATACAAACTTACTTTTCTTTAGCACAAAATTTAAAACAAAATCGACTACCTATACTATAAATTTCCGGTTTGCAAATTTAATTTTTAATTAATTATCTTAAAAAAGTGAACTCTGTAATGGCTGTACGTTTTTCTTTTCTCTTCTATTCTTTTAATAAAAAAATATATATATTTTTATCATATTATAGAAAACTCCTACGAAACGACCTCTTAATCACACTCTTAATTTCTAATTCATAATTAATATTCTCCAAATATGTCAAATTCAATACGGATAGGTGACAATTTTAATATTTTCTTCTTTTATTATCACAAAATTATATCCAGTTAACAAAATATAGTTCAAATGTCTACAAAAATCAAGAAAAAGAAGATATTAGAGTTGGCAACACCGTGCACTTTATTCCCCCGTTTGATCACGTTCACAGAGTTTCGGGAATACGGCCAAACCACTTCGAGAGAAACGCTGTAGGATGTGATCGTTCACCTCTCCTATAGGAACGCTCACATCGTCCAAGCTCGAGAATCGACGCACAGTGGCATTTAGCATCTCGTGATTTGAGAGGGCCAATGATATAGATAGTTATATAGATTGATCATCCATGTTTTTCATAACACAAGCTTAGGCCTTGAAGTAAAGATGTAGGATGTAATTACTACATTTAAAGGCTGAAAATTGGTTTTAAAACACATTTTTTTCTAAACTGATTCTGATTAATGAGCACTTGCGAGGCAATATGGCCGCTCGAAAAACGACCCGCTTTGAGCAATCTATACAATTATATGTATCATTGACCCTGTCAATGACAGCAGGCCACAGGGTTGCCATATTTAAACTGTCAGTTCCCACTTGTCAACATTTTGTTAGGTCGTTGAAATGCCCGATATTTTGACAGCTCATTGGAACCAAAATTCACACTTTTATGGCGTATTGCTTTCATGTTAGTGTACTTATATCAATTCAATTAAAAATGTCTTGCATTTAAATTTGAAGTGTATGTGGATTATGGACTACTTACTTAAAAAGAAAACAAATTTAAAGCCAAAGTTAAAAAGTAAACAAAAAATATAAAAGAATGTTTAGAAATCGCAGATGTTTGATTTGTTCGGCCTGTATTTTGTATTTTGCTCATTTGTACATTTCGATTCTTTTCTATCCAAAAAGGACGATTTTTGACACATTCAAATTAAAATGTATTTTGACAGAGGGCCATAAAAAAATCTATATACATGGCGAGTCGTAACTATGGGGACATAAATATGCCCTAATTTGTTTGTAATAATTTCATAACTTATTCATAAGTGGGATTTAAAATTAGCACAGAGGCATAACTTTAGGCAAGGAATATTATTTAATTTATTATTTTACATTTTAATACAGTGTGCCACATGAGCAATTCCTGATGATAGTGATGATGAAATTGGGCCACCTTTTTTGATGAAACTTTTAGTAATTTTGATTAGAAAATATATAAGACACTAAAAACAATTGTTTCCGATCGGGAAAAATTCAAGCAATTAGATGTTTCTGGTCTAGAACCAATTATTATTAATTTAGGTACAAAGGCAAGTAGTGATGAGTCTGAATGAGAGTCCAGTTGTAAAGAAAATTATATTGAATAAAAAAATTTATATGAGTTATTCAATAAATATTTTCTGCGCCTCTTGGTATAATATATTTTTTTAACAAAGAATCTGTTTCGCGAATTTGCACCTGTTTTGGATTATCTTTAACAACTAATGTTCAGCTGCGAAATTTATTTATAAAGTACGAAAGTAAATTGTTCTAGTATTTGTAGATAAAATGTAATACGTAATCTTAATTTTTTCAAAGCGACTTCTTATATTCATGTAAACCCACCTTAATAAAGTTTACGCTGCTAAGCAACAACAAAGCGCAACTGAAATAAGAAGACACATGCAAACTAACTAAAAATGCGATACTCCTTTGTCAGAGGACTTAGGGAATTTATATCACTTTATTAGTGTTGCCAGTTTATAGGGCCCAGTCAATATTACAACACGGTCGGGCCATATAAACTGGCAACGCTGATATTCGTTTCCTGCTCGCACTAATGTTCAGTGGCCGACACTGTATAATAAATAGTAAATTAGTAAAATTCAACCAGAAATGTTAAATTTGACAATTTGTAGAAGAGGTTAGCAATCTTACACACCAATATGGAGATTATATAAAATTTTGTGGTACAATGTTTTTAAAAAAAAATAAGCAATAATTAAATTTCTTTCACTTCTTTTTATTTAGTTTTCTAAAAAAAATATAAATAAGTAAATTCATATCCTTTACTTTATGGTAACCTTATTTTTTGTACTATATTTATTTCTGTATTAATATTAACTAAACATCTAATTTTTTTTTAGATGCAGATGTAGTATCGAATTACTTTTCAAAAAGAAGCAAGAAGCTTGGGCTGCTTACAGTTTTTAATTACGCCAAGGAATCACTATTACCAGTTAGAACAAAAAAAGGATTTTAACAGGTGTATGATAGCAATAAATTTATCATTGTATATTTATAATTTATTAAAAACAGGTATACTGTACTCAAATGCTCAGATTGTTCTTTACAAAATAAAAGTTTTTTGACTCACAAAACTAATAGATTACTTATCTCAAACTATATTATTTTTTTAACATATTTTACACATGATTTAAGATTTAAATATTCATAATTTTTATAACTAAAATACTGTCATTTTTTTCTTGTTGTCTCTCAAACTTTGTTCACATTTTATATTTTGCGCTTGACGTTGGAAATTTTGTATATCTCCTTGTCGTTCTAGAAATCTATTTTTCAACTTTTTATAAACATCAGAAGTAACGTCTGTATGTCTTGCTAAGGAATTTTGAATATTTTGCAAATCCCTCTCTGCATCTTTGATGTCTTTTTCTACCTGCAAACTTTTTATATTTAAATTTCTTGAAGTATCCTGCTTTAGGTTATCCCTCTCTTGTCTTGGACCTTTATCCTCTGTTTTCTGTTGAAAGGTTTTGTTTATGAATGTAAATACATCTTGTTTTTTCAGTTCTCTTTCATAAGCCTTTTTACTTTGAATTTCTTGTTTCTTTTGAAGACGTTTCATCTTCTTTTCAACGCTAAATAGATCTTTGTCGCCACCAGCTTGTTCTTTCAGTTTCATACAGTGGTCTAAAAACAATAAATATTTTTAGAATGCAAGCAGATATATTATTCATATTTAGAAAAATGAAGAATTTAAGAAGATGCATATTTGAACATTCCTGTTTCAATAGCAGTTACCTAGGGACTTTCCGACAGGAAATACAACTGCACTAACTGGATTAACTCTTCCTTCAGCATTTTTTCCTAACCCAGTTCCAACAATATACCCCATTTTTATCATAAGCCTGGAACCCATGCCCTAAAATAGAAAAAAAAATAACACAAAAAATTAAGGCGCAGTTTAAATCTGGCCTATTCAGACTTCTGAGCCGTTACATATCCAAGACACGAACTTCCTTTCGTAAAGTATTTTGCTCAAAACTAATTTCTTTAAGTTCGCTCGCAAGGAGAATATCAGGTCAAAGTGCTGAATGATAAAAACAATGCCAGTTTTTATTCAAATCCCGATATATTTTTATTTTTTTGTTTATTTAAATCGAAATAGTATGATTGGCACGAAACAATTTAAAAAAATGCAAAAATATCAAAAACAATAAATAATAAGGGGATTGATTCGAGAATACCTACTACATTTTGTTTTTGTGCATAATTTATTAATTCAAACTTAACTTTATGAACTTTGGCTTGCTCATCGTTGTTATACAGTCTCGCAAACAAAATCTATTCAATGTGGTTTGTAGATAATGCGTTAACTTCTGAAGTAAAGGGCTGTGGGTTCAAGTTTCGGTATAATCGCTTTTTGTTTCTTTTTTTATTATAATTATTATTATACAAACTTACGTTTAATTTTATTATGATAATATTCACATTTGTCTTGTATTAACATTTTTTCTCTCATATTCAGGGCCGCCGAGATCCAGGTCAGGACCCGGGACAATTATATAAAACAAAATTAAGCCCTTTCGATATCAATTTCTAAAAAAAAAAAGAACAAAAAACGGTCCTGAAGAACAAACTTACATCCTTTTTAACCGACTTCAAAAAAGGAGGAGGTTATCAATTCGTCGCGATATTTTTTTTTTATATATGTTCAGCGATTATTCTTTAACACGGTGTCCGATTTCAATGATTCTTTTTTTGTTAGAAAGGGGGTATTTCAGGGGTGGTCCCATATAAATTTAGTCAAAATCTAATAATTGGGTCCATGAGAAAATCCTCAAACTCTTAATTTTTTATGTATGTTTAGCGATAATGCTTTACCACCTTGTCCGATTTATACGATTATTTTTTTGTTAGTAAGGGGATACCTCAGGGGTAGTCCCATATAAATTTGGTTAAGATGTGGTGATGGCATCCGCACGTTTTTGAAGTCGGTTTTTTAAAATTTTT